CTTGGAAAGCAACTTTTAGAATTTTCCACCTAAGAAACTATGCTTATTAAATTATTAATTTGATTGTAGGCTTGAAAATGCGGCTGGTGAGATTTCCTCAGAAATCAAGATGATGCGAAAATGTGCTATAATTTGAAAGCAAAGATCTCAGATAAAGCGCTTTGTACAACCTAAGTTAGAATTAATGTAGAAAATATTGTGCAACGGTTCCGCGAAGTTGAAAAAGTTTACCGATATATCAGGTATACCCTAAAAAGGTCAGAAGCACAAGAGTGGGATTTCTGAAGCAATTTCTTGACGTCTTCCTCTTCTTTTCTACTTGTAGTAAGCCTTTTTGAATTACATTCTCGAATTCTTCAGTAAAGCGAGTCATTCGGTAAAAACCTAACTTGTACAAGTTCGTACGCCTCAAGACAATGCAGTGATGGTTACAGCGCCAAAACATTTGCGTTAGCAAGGAGTTATAGACGTTTATTTGGAACTTTTCAGCCACTAGCCAGATTATTCCTACTGGATGCACAAACTGGAGCCCATGTTCTGCACCTTGCGGTGGATGTGGTGTGACCAAAAGGACGTAAGTTTTCTAAGTTACTGCTTTTAAAATTACTTGCACTAAGAAATAAGAATATATGATTTTCAGTTGCAATGGTGTCGCAGAGCAGAAATTCTGCAACAAGAACCCATGTAAATTCAACTTCTGCTGCCGACCATTCCTCTACGTAAACCAAGGATACTGCTTTCATCCTTATCTTGATGATCAACTCACTGTGAGTTGTTCTAAGTGTACAGCCAAAGTGATTCAAGTTCTAGTAAAAGTTTTCTGTAAGCCGATTTGTATGAATAACCAAAAACTGGAAAAAAATCCTAGAAAATTTCTTAACATTTTGATAGTAGCATACAAAACGGACAGCATTACTACGTTGATTAATTAAATATCAAAATCTCCTTGAAAATTACTTTCATTTATAATTGATGTATTTAGAAAGATGTTGAGGAAAGGCTGAAACTGCTGAATGAGGAGACAAGCTTGGCCGAAGGAAGTGGACAAGAATGATTTTCAACACCATTGAATTTGTAATGAATATTTGGCTTGAAATAATATTGTTGATTGGAATGCTTCCAAAGTTAAGAACTTATCACATCGCGGCGGGTTCGGCAGCTAAACGATGAAGTTAATATCACAGCTGCACATCGAGTACGGTGGGCGTTATTTAATTCAAAATCATTTCCATTGCATTTTAGCTTCCTAACGTGATGAAGTCACAGTAAAAGTTTGTATGGTGAGACACCTCTTCGCATTTCGACCTTTCTCTACAATAGTAACTCCACAATGGCAGCCATAGGTTAGATACACTGAGCCGCGGCTCTGGTCACCTTCACTAATGAGCAAAGAAAGAGTAGGATCCTCATCAAAGGAAGTTTGAGTAAGTCAAGGTCCGGGGCCAAGCCCCGGAT